GGGGGAAATTCTTAGCTTGATAAAAATTTTATCAAAAATCAGAACTGTCTTTTCATCTTTACTCTGCATGCCCATATAGGGTAGGACTGAAGGAGTTTGAATGCTAAGGCAATGGAAAATGAACCAGCTCATCCACAATTTTTTAACAGTGAACCCCATGACCTCAATTGATACTTAAAACTTATTACAGCTGTTATTTTATTATTTTTCTCTCACTCTCTTTTACCCTTTCTTTCTTAAGGGAAAAGAGCTACTAGAAAAGTAGAATAAAAAATAATGGCTAACAAAACCACAACATAAGGAAAAGAAGAACCATGCTGCAATTTGCCAATATAAATGTTCCTTCTCTTCAGGGATGGCTAACAAACTCAAATGTTTCTAATGAACCACTGGCAAACTACCAAGTGCACAGTATTACATCTCTCCAAACTCATAACCACCATTTATCTGTAACAGACACATGAAGATGACAATCTTAAATGCTAGGTATGGAAAAGAACTTAGGCCATTTTCTTCGGTTTGATGAGGTCAGGATTATACCAGGAAACTAGAGTATTCTAGTGCTTTGATGAAGAATTCCCTATAGAAATGTGCCAACTATCTTCTTTTAAATTAATTTTTAAAAATTTATATACGACAGCAGAACGCATTACAATTCATATTACACATATAGGGTATAATTTTCACTGGTTTTATATAAAGTATATTCACTGGTTGAATACAAAGTAAATTCACACCAGTACCAAATGTCTTTTCCTCAGGGAAGCCTATTTCTTATTCTAGATCCAGAGTCTATACATATGCATTTATCAGGCTCTTTGCATGTTGCATTTTCTTCATATTTCTTCTACTTATCAATTTTTCTACTTACACTGAGCAAGTTCTTTTGCTTTTGATAATTAAATAATTCAAATGAAATAACTTAAACCTTTAAAAATACAATGAGTCCTACACTGACTATAGAGTGAAGAATCGGTTGTTGCCAATAGCCACAGGAAGGATATTGCCTTTCTCCTCTTAAACTCTACTTAAATAATTTTGTTTTCATATAAATCATCAGTAGGAAAAAACAGTAAAAGCATAGTTATAAGTGCTTTCTGTTCTTAATTCTTTATATTACTAATTTATTGTTTAATTTATAAGAAAACTTTTATGAAGTAGGAACTATTATTGCTGTTTTAAAATGAAGACTAATGCTTGCAGACAGGTTAAATCGCTTGCTGAGGCCATGGAGCTAATAAGTGGCAGAGACAGAACTCAGATTCAGGTTCTTTTATTGTAGGAAGTATGCTTTCTCTTTCCACTCCCTACCCCAGAATTGGGAATTACACTGGGGTGTTCTACTACTGGGCTACATCCCCACCCCTTTTTAATTTTGAGATAGGGTCTCACTAAATTGCTGAAGCTGGCTTTGAACCTGTGGTCCTCCTGCCTCAGTTTCCTTAAGTTGCTGGGATTATAGGCATGTACCACCACATCTGGCTTGGAACTCTGCTTTTCTTAGTATCAAAAGTACTCAGAGACATGCTATCTACAGGGTAAAAACCTCCTTACAAACTGACAGAACATATTCTGAACAAATTTTTGGAAACTGAGGCACCTTTAGCCCAGGCCAGATGATTAGAATTTGCTCAAAATACAGACAGCAGGAGTTCAGAACATAGAAGAGGAAAGACTATTTCCTCAGTCAGCTACACAGTGAAAAGGAACTGAAAATTTACTGTATTTCGAACCTATGATACATCATTTATGGTGCTTTTAGTATAATTACACTTAGATTTAACTGTGGAGTTTTTAGTAGAAGCTCTATGAATCATTACTTTATATTGAAAGCTAAACTTTAAAAATATATTTTTTTCAAAAGAGTATAGGAATTTTTCAAATTTTTTACTGTTCTATATGGAAAGAAGAGAATAAATGATGCTCCCTACCCCCTAGTAGAACCACATGTCTATAAAGCAGTACAAATAGAAACTGGGTAAGAGCTAACACTTTCTCAACAAATTAATTAGACCTAAAGTACTGATGTAATTTATTAAATGGAAGTTAGTGGACAAACATCTTAATAAAATTTGAAAGTAAAAGGCAACAAGGTAAAATTAAAATCTTTTAAAAACTTAAAAAAATGTTACAATCTGCGTGACACAAAACTTGTGAAAAATCTGCCTAAGAACATCAAGATGCCATGTAAAGGCATCTTGAGCAACTGAAGAAGGTGAGTTAAAAAAATAGTCAGTCCTCAGATCCAGGTTTTAACACTGTATTTCTAGAACTTTTATTTATAAAAATTTTTATATTGTTTATAATTCCTCTATATCCTTCCATTATCCCAGGGCTTAAGTATAACATACAACATAATACCAATAACATTCTGCCAATCATAGTATTTATTTTCTAGAAATAAAACCTCGGATAGCAAGAAATAAAGTTTGGTACTGTGATAGAAAAATAAATCACATACAATTCTCTTTTTACTCAAGCATTCTTAAAATTCTTTCATATCACCTCAAAGTTTTAATGATAAAGGGAAATATACCTCTACCTGTATAAAAGTAGCTATTTAAACTGAGGGTAAAAGACCTGACAAGCCATATGGTGGTGCTTAGAGAAAACAGAACAAAATTCCTATATTGCGGCTTTTAATAAGGCCTGTTTCTCCATAGGAATATCACAAATGATACCGTGTTTTCCCTAACATTATCTCCATCCTGACTCCATTTTCTTAAAAGCATAGAGATCTGATTCAATCTTTTTTTCTCACTTCTGTTTCTAAAGATGTTCTAGAATGGTTCCCAGACATATTCACATCTAATGATTTCACTCTCTACTGCCAAATAATTATCTCTACTACTTCACCTCCAAAATGTTAAGCTTTGAATTTTGCCTACAGTGACAAAACTCTTATCTAAAACCTCTTTCACTAACTTGTTCCTAACAAATATACTTGTAATAATTTTTCTCACAGTGATACTCAGAACCATCTCTATTGTCCTAGGACATCTGTCTATTTCTGGCTTCACTTACTCATTTCTTCCAAAAGCATATCATCTGTAACACTCTTCTCTCAACCTTGCACTGTGCCATTCCAACCTGAAATCACAAGTAACAGCTTAACATTCACTTCCTCAACCCTTGAGTTGCTATCACTGTATCACAGTAGTCATGTCCCATGAAAACTCAAAGTTATTTATTATGGCAAGATCCTTGTCTATTATATAGGTGTTCAAAATTTATTGATAGTTCAAAGTAGCAGAAAAGAAGAGGTGATAACAGATTAAATGAGTCAGGTTGAAAAACATGTATTTATTTTAGCCAGAGAGGAAGAAATAAAATACAAAGAAGGAAATAAAAGAATGTGAACACAAGTGCGGGGGTTGTGGCTCAGAGATGTAGTGCTCGCCTAGCATTCCTGAGGCACTGGGTTTGATTCTTGGCACTACATAAAAATAAAATAAAGATACTGTGTCCATCTATAACTAAAAAATAAACATTAAAAAAATAAAGTGAACATAAATGTGAGAAAATACAAATAAAGGAATATTGCAGAGGAGGAACCAGTGCTTAAAATTTCTTACAAAGATAAGCAGCCGGAAGGAGAGAAATGAATTACAGTAGATGGGGTAGAGAGAGAAGATG